ATGGATGGATGGATGAATTGATGGATGGATGACAGATGGATGAATAGATGATGAATGGATGGATGAATTGATGGATAGATGACGGATAGATGGATGGATGAATGGATGATGGATGGATAGATTGATGGATGGATAGATGATGGATGGATGAAGGATGGATGGATGGATGGATGAATTGATGGATGGATGAATAGAGGGATGGATGAATGGGTGGATGGATGGAATGATGGATGGATGGATGAATGGATGGGTAAATAGATGGATGGATGAATGATAGATAGGATGGATAGATGGATGGATGGATGAATGCATTGATGGATGAATGAATAGATGGGTGAATGCATGGATGGATGGATGGATGGACGGATGAATAGATGGATGGATGAATGGACGGATGAATAGAGTATAAAGACGGTGCTTGTTTGTATTTGATGCTCAGCTTCTATCTATGATTGACTGTTGATCTCTCACTGAGAGGATTGGATCAAAGTGACAGTGAATGATCTGGTCCTCATCAGGTCATCAGTGACCTCTAGGTCAGGGGTCCGCAACCCCCAGTGTGGGGACCAGTGCTGGTCCATAGGTCATTTGTCCCAGGCCTCAGTGGGGACACAGCGTAAAACTGTCCTTCAGTTTTACTAGTTCACTTCAGTCTAAAATAACCCAGTCATATCCCTTTAGTTTTGTCATTCAAAGATAATCTGACAATGTTTCAAAACAACAGGTCAAAGGTCATTCAGACTCTGATACTGACAGAATAAAGTCTGAGAGATGTTTTCTTTTGAAAATTGAATGATCCTTCAAAGATGCTGACACTGGCTTTGGTTGGTCCTTGGTTTTTCGACAGCTGGTGGTTTGTATTCAGTTAAATGTAAAATGTTAATTTGACAGTTTATTCAGTCAGTTTGACACTGAAGACTCAGATATAAAGGATGGAGAGAAGGAATGTTGACAGGGATATGAATGGATATCAGGACAGACAGACGGAAAAATACGACGAGAACAAAGACTGTCAGGAGCGATGAGTGACTGAAAGGACAGATGGACAAATTAAGAGTAACGATGGACCAGTTATGACCAATGAATGGACAGATGGTCGGAGGAGCAGACCATGAAGAGATGGATGGATTTCCACTAACATCTGTAGATGCGTGTCAGTGTTTCAGCAGAAGATTAACACAGATTTGTGTCAGTGGGATTGCCACTGATGTTGCCATGATAGAGGTCAA